GCCCTTTTTCCACCAGTGTATTCAACTAAAACACTGTTTTTTTCTACCTACAAGTGAACCTCATGCCATGTCAGCCAAATATAGTGCCACATCAACATACTTTATGTCTATAAATGGTATTAGCACCGCATATGCACGTTCGTGTCAAGTTGTAGAACCAGTTTGACGTATTTTTCAAGTTCAGACACTAAAGTGAATATCTGTGGCAAGTTGAAGCACATCATGTGTTATTACGTCTGCAAATACTGTAAAGGAAATTTATGGGACGGCGGACGGATCGGCAAAATAGATCCCATAAACGTCATCTGCAAAATATATCTGGTAGACGGATGCTGGGGCCGTCATTCAACCCTAGCCACATACATTTGGTTAACAATTCAAACTAACAGGATGAAATTCGTTCAAACCGAATGGATTTCCTTAAAGTTCGGATATAATTTACATAAACGGACGACATTTCAACCGTTTTACTAAAAATTAGAAAACATTAAACCCTATGTCGGACGACCACCTCGTAAGTGTGGCTCCCCTGTCCTATCGCACCGTCGTCGTCGTCGGTGTCGTCGTCGTCGTCCCTCCAGCGGCGCAAGGATGCTGGAGGGCCATGGTAGCCTTCTCCGGCAGCTGCCTAACGCTCGTGGAGGAGCCGCTCCGCCTCCTGTTGCACTGTGTGGCCATTGCCGATGTGGCACCTTTGGAGCCCTGGCAGCGGCCTTGCCGCGACTGGCGTTGGCAGAGCAGTCACTAAGAAACCACTCCTTGCTGATCTTGGTGAGCTCACCATCAAGGCGGTGACGGCGTCTGGCGGCAGTCTCCACGGTGTCACAAAGCGGTCGAGCACCCATGAGGCGGTGAGGTCAGGGTCTTTCCGAACCCAGTCCAGCGCCACACCGCTCTTGGCGAACACGGAGTGGCGACCGGCATTGCGTCGGTCGTACGTCTCCTGCTACGTCGCCGCGTGCTCCGCCTCATAGACGACGACCCTCGAGCCCGAGGGACGGCCGTAACCACCTTCTCTGAGGTAGTGGAGGAGATGTCGAGGCAATGACGATGCGGCGGCGATGATGGCGCATACCAGCTACGCGGCGGGGATGTTGGCTCCTCCTTAACTCGACGTCCGATCTGGACGACGCGGTCATGTAGGGATGGGGCCGGCTCCTCCTTCGCGCGACATATGATCTGGATGCAGTGGTTGTGCTGGGGCGAGGTTGAATCATCCTTCGCAGGCCGGAGCGGGGACGCCGGCTCGTGCTTGACGTGATGTGCGGCGGGGACGACAGATCCTCCTTGACGCATACCGATGATGGCGGCAAGGGGCCCATGTAACGGAGCGACCCCTCCGTCATTATTTCTATTTGACGGATGAAATCTTTGTCCGTCCGAGCAACCTCCTTGAGGATCCGGGACGGCTGCTGTAGCGGTGCCTGGTCCTTCTTTTCACAAGAGGAGATGACGATCTCCTCCTTGGTGGAGGAGCCGACCACCATGGACGTTGATGTGCCCGGAGAGAATGGGCGGCGGCGCCAAGAACCACCGGAGATGGAGCTTTCGCCTACTCCACATGCCGGCGCAAAGCTCAATGAGTTCGGCATCGCCGCAGCTAGGGTCGCAACGGAGGAGAGGTTCGGGCATGAAGACAGTGGTGTAGAGGGTGTTGGTGATCGGGGAAGAGGACTCATGACTTAAATAGCCTCAGCGAGGCCCAGGTGAATGGGCGGGCAGCCAGCTTCAATGCAGCACAACGGTCGGAGTTGGTTCCTCCGGACGGGGTGTCCACATTGAATCGACGACGCCTAATAAGTCACGTCCATCACCGCCGCCCTCCCATCTGGTCAAATCACGGCATCAATGTCGGTCACAGCATGCTCTGGGCTGTCATGAATGTGGCGCGGCAAGCAGTGCGACGCGCGAATGAAAAGCGCGGGAGGGGCGGGAGGGGGTTTGGGTGGGCCAGGGCGGTCAGAAGCAGGTGTGGCAGCAGTCCGAACTCCCGCAAAGCAGCCCCCCACCCCCTCACACACGCATTTGTCTCCGATTTGTAGGAGAAAACGCATCCGGACCGGGACGTGGACTGATACAGGCCCGCGTTGGATGACATCTGCGGTCCTGACAGATGCGGGCGGTTTGTGAGTCGGCGTTGGAGATTCCCTAACCCCACTACAACTGCATGTGCACAAAGCAACTGGGTTCGAAGGGGGTTGTCGGGCCATGTACAACACAAACATCCAACTGCAAGCAGTATAATCCAACTGCAACTACGTGTGCACAAAAGTGACTACAACTGGGTCGGGAGGGGAGTTTATCGGGGCTAGTTGCATGTCTATCACTACACATGCAACTCCATGCATTGTAATTCGATTGCAATTGCACATGCACAAAGCGACTGCAACTGAGTTCAAAAGGAGGGATTGCCGGGCTAGTTGTGTGTCCACTACTAAATATGCAATTGCAAGTGTTGTTACCCAGTTGCAACTGCACTGTATACAAAGCGATTGTAACTGGTGTGGGGATGGAGTTTCTCTGGGCTAGTTGCATATCTAGCACTAGATATGCAAGTGCATAACCCGATTGCAACTGGATGGGTACAAAGCAACTGCAAACTGAGATTGGAAGGGGGTTTGCTGAGCGAGTTGCATGTCAACCACTAGATATGCAACGGTAAGTGTTGTAACTTGACCGCAATTGCATTTGATACAAAGAGAGCGCAATTGTGTCGGGAGGGGAGTTTATCGGGCCAGTTGCATATCTGCCACCAGACATGCAACTACACGGGCATAAAAAGACTGCAACTACACAGGTACAAAATGACTGCAACTAAGGTCCGAAGAGGGGGTGGTTTTCAAGCCAGTTGCATATCCACTACTAGATATGCAACTGGGGGCGAGAAAGGGATGTCGGGTCAGTTGCACGCCCACCACCACTGCAGCTCCCATGTTTTTTTCTAGGCCTTTTTAGATTTTTCTACTATTCTCACATACGTAACGCACACGTGCACAAATTACAAGCAACTCACACATTAGCGTAGTGCGGCAACTGCATACTCCTTCGTCCGAAAATACTTGTCATCAAAATAGATAAAAAGGGATGTATCTAGAACTAATATACATCTAGATACATCCCCTTCTATTCATTTTGATGACAAGTATTTCTGGACAGAGGGAGTACATCGTAAGACACGGGTAACTACATCGTCGCAGAGCGTGTGCAACTAGATTTACTTTATACTTTAATACATTTAAAAGAAATACTCTCTCCGCTCCTAAATATAAGTCTTTTTAGGGATTGCAATAAGAGACTACATACGGAGCGAAATAAGTGAATGTAAACTCTAAAATATGTCTATATACGTTCATATGTAGTCCTTCATTTTTTATTTTTTATTTTTGCGGGTGCAATGTAGTCCTTCATTGAAATCCCTAAAAAGTCCTATATTTATAAATGGAGGAGTAGAAAATAAAATAAGAAGGAAAAACAAAATGCAAAAAATAGGGAATTTTTTTACTAGCATGCACTTTTTTTAGAATACTCGCACGCACAACTGACAGCACTATATGCGTATCAAAACGTATGAAGCCCTATATATTTGGATTGAGGGATTAGGTAATACGATCTTCAATTTATTAACGAGTCTAATAAAGCACCTTGTGTGGTTCATGCCAAAATGTAAATCAGAGAAGTTACCTTATGCAAAATCTTCAAGTGTTTCTCATGGTCCCTTGGAACTTGTTTTTCTGATGTACTACCTCTATCCGGGTTTTTAGCCCCCCTCTTATTTTTGGGCTAAAGTTTGACAATAAATTTAACTAATAAAATATGAACTATATGTCACAAAAATTATACTATGAGAAACATATTTCAAATGCAAATACAACAATATACTTTTTCGTATGATAGACCATCTATTTCTGAATATAAGACATTTTGGCAGTTCAATTTAAACTGCCAAAACATCTTGTATTAAAAAAAAGAGGTAGTATAATTTATAGTTTGTTAGTTGTATAGATGGTATAAAATACAAGGGGCCCAATAAACCTGGACGGAGGTAGTATACGGTCTAGCCCTACCCCTATTGGTCACCACAATTATTATGTGAGGTTCATTGATAACTATAATAAATGTGTGTGGGTCTATCTTCTTAAGCAAAAAACAAATATAGCAAAACTTATATTTTGCGTCTATCTTTGGAGTAGTGGGAATCTTGTTGCTCATATTGCCTCAAGCTATTAACTAAGCGGTCCTAGTGCATGTATAACGGTCTCTAAAGCTGCAATAAAATGGTAATTTTGCATGTACAAGGGTGTGCACAAAGGTGTTTAATAATTGCTCCTTTGATATGTGATTTATTTATAGTGTTCCACAAAGCACAAGACAGTAATGCGATGATATCAACCCGACCGACCTTGAAAATGGTGCCTGTAATGCAACCCCACAAACCTAGCTAGTTCATGTAGCATGCACTTCATCTATGTCAAAGGCCCGTGCCATGGGGACACTGTCTAGAACATGTTGACGCATCAACATTGAGTGCAATGAATTTTCTTTTGAGTATGAGAACAATGTATTTCTAAAATTTGTGCCAACGGCAACAACCTGCAAATGTCACAATATTCCACCACTTCTTTTACATGATGTTTGTCCATTTGTTACTCAGAGCTTTCCTTTTTTTTGTCCAGGGTAGTTCTTGCACCGCTTACAAGGACACGATCCTACAACAATGTTCCTCAGCCCCATGCCATACTGTATTATCAGCAGAGAACAACCATAGGAGGCCTCCTGATTGCTGAGGCCACTGGAGTCTCAGACACCGCCCAAGGGTGTGTGTGCTAGATCCTTAGTTAGACTATGCCTTTTTAGAACTCAATAGTCATGTTCACCTTCCTCTTCATCATCATAATGTAACGTTTTCTAAAGATGGAATGTTTCATGTGTGCATGCAAGGTACAAAGATACTCCTGGAATTTGGACACAGGAGCAGGTGGAAGCATGGAAGCCTATCGTAGATGGGGTTCATGCCAAGGGAGGGATATTTTTCTGTCAGATTTGGCATGTCGGAAGAGTCTCTAATCATAGTAAGTTTAATACACAAATATAATCTTGTTCTGCTAATCTAAAAAGAGGAAAACTTCATATTGATTTCAAGTTTTTTCTTTCAACCCAATATTTTGTACGAAACATTCCTTTGACCATTTTGCCATTATATCTTCTCTGTTTAAAATGAAAATGCATTGGTGAACCTTTACTTACTGTGTGGCCCTTTTATTTCTTTCATAATACCAACACATGTTTGATGTCTACATGCAGCTTATCAGCCTAATGGACAAGCTCCGATATCTAGCACGGATAAGCCATTGAAACCTATGGTGGTAGGCAATCACACAGTATCTGATTTCTCTACGCCTAGGCCTCTAGAGACCGATGAGATCCCTATGGTCATCAATGATTTCAGGGTGGCTGCTAGAAATGCAATTGAAGCTGGTAATCGTGTCCCTCTCACAATTCACACTCAAAAAATTGATAACATGTTAAGTTTAGCTTAAAAATAGTATAAAGAAAAGTAGCAGAAAAATGGTGTACATTCAAGATACCTACGGAAGGGAAATCTAACCTCATTGCTCTGTATGGTGTGCAGGATTTGATGGTGTTGAGATCCATGGGGCTCATGGCTATTTGATCGATCAATTCTTCAAGGACCAAGTCAATGACCGCACTGACAAATACGGCGGGAGCTTAGAGAATCGTTGCCGGTTTGGACTAGAAGTAATCGAAGCCGTAGTAGATGAAATCGGAGCTGGTAAGGTTGGGATGAGGCTCTCGCCCTTTGCAAACTACTGGGAATCGTCAGACTCCAACCCGGGAGCTCTAGGCCTGTACATGGCACACGCGCTGAACAAAATTGGGATCCTCTACTGTCACACGGTCGAGCCACGGATGATAACGTTCGTTGACAAGGTTGAAACTCCAAATAGCCTGCGCGCCATGCGGGATGCTTTCAAGGGAACGTTTATTGTAGCCGGTGGCTACGGCAGAGAGGATGGAAACGCAACTGTCTCCAGCGGCTATGCTGATCTGGTTGCATACGGACGCTTGTTCTTGTCTAATCCTGACTTGCCTCGGAGGTTTGAGATTGATGCTCCTCTAAACAAGTACAACAGAGATACTTTCTACATCTCCGATCCAGTTCTTGGATACACTGACTACCCATTCCTTTCATCCGATGTATAAATGGCTGTTTCATAAATGGGCTCATCCCTGCTCTGAACTATGATACCCGAACATATTGATTGTTACTGAACATGTTTAATAAATTTGGTTGTGTGCATCATTGTGATGCAGTGGCTATTGGTCTTACCCTCATTTTCCAAACACAAAGAAACTTCATCAGAGCAACTGCCTGTTGTACCAGTTGTTCGGTAGTACTATTAGATTAAAAGATTCATTGGTCTGAATGCTTAGTTTTTATGTGTACTTGAGGAATACAGTCATTGGTTTGAATCGCCGTTATTAATTTCAGTTCAACTAGTATAAGCATAATGAGATCACATGAGACTTGCCTGTTTACCATCTTGCTCCCACATCCACACGTGTTCCCCAACGGGCGAGACTATGATTTTCTTCACTTAATTAAATTACTTTTTACCTGTAAATGTTTTAATTTATAGTTAATGAAAGCTAGCAGGGTGGCGAGGGCATCAAATTTAGCGTGTTGAAAGTGTTTGAAAATATACCTATTTATTCATATTTTATTGAGGGGGAAAACACACTGTACAAGCTACGACTTTATAATGGCACTGACACACTTGTCTAGAAACAGAGTAGAGGGCTAAAATTCAACTCGCTCAGAACACTAGGGACTAAATATACACTCTCTATTGGTAACAATTCGTCTTCTTAACACCCGTCCTGGACAACCTAGGGTATATAATTTTCCTTCCCCTTTTGTCCTCCTTATAATTAGTTTAGTCATGTATAGTTTCCTGGTAATTTCTGTCAGCAAGTTCTATGGCAAGCTGAAAAGGGACAATTTTCATAAATAAAAAAAAGTGATGAATCTTCGTGAGGTTTGAATGTTGCGTTATATATGCTCAGAGTTTACTATACACTGGCTATATGTCAGTGTTAAATTTCAATGTAATCAGTGGCGTAGCCAGGATCGGACCAGGCCCCGGGCAAGAGCCAGGCGGAACATGTTCTACAATGTCAAATAGTGTAAAAATAGCTACAGTTAACAAAGAAATCCAGTGCTACAACCCGGGCCGTGGCCCTTGTAGCCTGGGTCCTGTTTATGCCACTGGATGTAACCATAGATGACCGTACGCTTCAGTTGCAAAAGATATTTTTTGGTGCCCTGTCTGATGTCGGGTTGGAGACACTTTCGTTGGGGAGAGAATCCTTGCACCCTGTACTCAAAGGGGGGCTCCTTTTTTGGAGCAAATCAAGGGGGAGCTCCTATATGACGCGTCCTGCATCAAATTGGCGGCATTTCGCTGAGGGCACCCCCAACTGGGCCGGCCCATGTAGTGAGACTTCCTACTGCGCCAAGCTGGTACAGTAGAGGCTCGGGCACTAAAACGTTCCTATTTTTCATTTTGTTTTTCAGGAAAAATATAAAATAATATTGTAAAAGGTGGATAGTTTTTAGAAAATTTATCAAAAAGTGTGATTCTAAAACATGATTTTTGTTCCAATTAATGTCCATTGTTTTTAAACATGCTCACTTTTTCAAATTCTTGAACATTCTTTGGAAACACGAATTTTTTTTCAAGTTATTGAACATTTTTCCAAAAGACTACTTTTTCAGTTTACTTCTACATCTTTTGAAGACATGATTTATTTTCCTAAAATTTAAACTTCCTTATAAAATGCGAATATCTATTATGTTTTATTTTAACTTTCTTAAAAGGCAAATATTTTTTGAAAGTTTTAACGTTTCTTTAAAAACAAATATTATTTTAAAATTCTAATCTTTTGATCATTTCTATAAAACTGTAAAAAAATCCCATTTTTTTATTTAACTAAAAAAATGAAAACAAATCAAAGTAAATTCTTTATGGAAAATATCATAAAAGGGAAAATTTTGAAAAATCAAACCAGAATTTTCTATAAGATTCCCAAAACTGATCAAAAACCTTCTGGTACCCAAGCCCAAAAACGGTCAAGAACCTCCTAAATACCAACACCCCTCTATAATTTTATGAATTTTCTGTCACATTTGTAAACATTTTAAACCCATTTTTTCGAATATGAATATTATTTTTTCAGAAAATAGAAACACAAAAATAAATAAAAATGATAAAGGAAAGGGGTAAATCCAAAAAGGCAAATAGAGAAAACAAGATAGAAAAAATAAATAAAAACAAACCCGAACCTTCGACAAGGGCGAGGTTCCTAAAACCAGAAAAACCGGAGTTGGAAACCTTTTCAAAACCTGAATCCCTAGCCAATCTAGCAGCAGGGGTCTGTGGAGGCAGCGACGCTTCTGTGGTGCAGTTCAGCCCACCTTAGCGAGCAGATGGCCTAGATCGCTGCTCATTGTGTAGCCCAGAGCATGCAGCTCGGTCCACCCGTGCTGAACCTTTGGGATGCCAACAACCAGGAGACCTTTGCCGGCATGATTCTTTGTGTGTGTGCGGGAGCATTTGTGCTAGTTGCGTACATCCTACTCGCAGGATGATGGATGTATATGCTCATTGTGTTTGTATCCACAACACAGTTTAATTTTGTGTCGATAAAATCCATACTTTATCAAGAAAAAAAAAAGAGCGGCCTAATTTTGTACACCATCTGGGTAGTCTAGAAGTTGAGAAACTCACTGGTCTTATGTAACTCAGCGGTGCTGCAGCTGTTCGATGTGGCTAATGACCTACTGCATGCATGCAGTGCAGAAGGATATCTCCCGGCGGGCCTACTGCAAGCTGTTGTACGTATTAATATTGTGTGGGCATGTGCATGGACTTGGGACGGGTCAAGATTACTGTGGAAGTGTGGATGGCTCCTTTTCCAGAACTCCGATAGTGGAGTCCTCAGATCATCAGATCATGTCGGTCCTTGCTTCCCTCGATCTACCAACAGATGAATGGTGTCGAGTCAGAGTTAGCTGCGCCGCGTGCGAGGGAATCTTTCTGACGCTCCAACGTTCGGTTCAACACCTCCAATAATTTCCGGGACGGACGACTCAGAGGTTGTCTGAATGATTCAATCTATAAGACTCAAGACACTCATGGATGCAGATCTCTCTAGATAGATGTCACAGTAAGGCCGGTAGGCATGAGGCATCCCCTGGCTTCCTAGGCAGGTTACAGGGGAGCAACTAATTAACGAGCGCTTCTTCGGAAGCGTCGCAACGATCAGCGCCATTTGGCGCGCTCTCATCTATTCACCACGTGTCGCGCTCCAGGCGCTCCCTCCGGATTTTTTTTATTATTTTTTCACACATTTTCGGCTTTTTAAACGGGATTTTCCGGGTTTTTTTGACGTTTTCGTTTTCCACCGGTCTTCCCTAGCTTTTCGACAAAAAAAATTTTGTAAAAAATTTTTTTTGGCGCAAAAAAACGCATTTTTTTCGCGAGAGTCATGGTTTTGTTTCTGCGAGAGGCACGGTTGTGCTTTCGCGAGAGGCACGGCCCTGCCTCTTGGAAACAAAAAAAATGTGTTTTCTGTTTTTTCCTTTTGCGAGAGGCACGGTTTTGCTTCCGCGAGAGTCACGGCCGTGCCTCCTCGGAAACGAAAAAAACACGTTTTCTGTTTTTTTTTCTTCCGCGAGAGGCACGGTTGTGGTTTCGCGAGAGGCACGGGCGTGCCTCTTTCGGAAAGAAAAAAACGCGTTTTTTGTGTTTTGCTTCCGCGAGATGCACGGTTGTGATTTCGTCAGAGACACGGGCGTGCCTCTTTCGGAAAGGAAAAAAAATCCGTGTTCCCGGTTCGCTTTTCATCGATTTTTTTCGTCTGGTTTTTTCGTGAAAAAAAAGTTCGTCAAAACCTATCAAGATTGGATCTAGTTTTGAAGATCTCGACGCGAGGAATCCAACGGCGAAAGCGATCCAGGATTTGGACACACGGTTTAAGAGATAAAACGTTTTGAATAGACGAATCTATGAAAAAAGGGAAAACTCCCAGGTTGCGACAAGTGGCGCACATGCAGCGCGCCACTTGTTACAACCTGGGGAAGTTGAAGTGATCTTCGAAAGAAGTACTCCTTAATTAGTGATTTCGAGGTTATAGTCTCGCACTACAGCCTTCTGCATTGGTATTTACTCCACGGAAGTGGCCCATGTAATTGATATTGAAGGCATCACACATGTCATGACGTTGTCTCAAAAAAAAACATGTCATGATGAACATGGTATATTAAAAAATGTTGTTGTTTCCTATTTCTGACACACAAGAAGTATTGTTTCATCGTGGATTTTTTTTTTGTTTCATAGTGGAAGTTTATATATACGTTCAGTCATTAACCGTATCCGTATTTTGAGCAAAAATGTGAGTTTCTATACCGGAAGTCTGTATTTATCTAGGTACAAACTTCACCTACATGTTTCATAGTTTTTTTTTCCATTGCCAATTGTTTCAGAATATGGTAGAGACAAAACGTAAGAGATATCACCTACATGTTACACGCTTTACATTAGCAATGGGGATTATGGAGGAGGGGAGATATTACCAAGATTCTTAGTGGCCAGGGAGCCACATGCTGGCAGAAGTTCAAGCGCAAGTTTTTCCTTCATTGGTCTGTCGCGTCGCCTGAGGTGTTCAGATACGAGGAATCGTGTGTGGAAAAGCAACAGTTGGGGTGGCTGAACTGGCCGCTCAGTACACATCCCCAACAAGTAGTAGAAGTTTTGACAAATAACATAGAAAGTTTGTGTATATTCTAAGTGGTTTCCGTTAACAATTATTTCAAATTATGAGAGGCAAAAAGTAAGAGAGATACGTAGAATATAGGCTATGCTTTTTCCAGCAATAACGGGAATTGTACACGAGAGGTAATGCCAAGATTCTTGGGACCGCCGGGTAGCAATGAGAACTATGGTGGACGCATGAAGCGCTAGGGAACCAGATTGCCAGGAGTTCACGCGCATTTTCTTCTTCCATGGCCTACCATGTCGGTTGTTCGGACAGGAGGAATCGCCTATCATAAAGCGGTCACTTGGGAGCTCGATCTCCAACTACGCATCACCAAAAACCTTTTCTATAATGTTTCGCCTATCATACAGGATGTGCAAAAG